AGAGTGTCCCCTGAGTGTCCCCTGGTGTCCCCTGAGTGTCCTCAAACATCCTTGGGGTGTCCTTGGGGTGTCTCTGAATGTCCTTGGGGTGTCTCCAAGGTGTCCCCAACTGTCTGAGTGTCTCCTGGTGTCCCCCAGCTGTCCTTGGGTGTCTCCTGGGTGTCCCCAGGCTGTCCCAAGACGTCCTTGGCCATCACCTGTCTGGCTGTGGGCTGTCCCCGATGTCCCCAGGTGTCCCCCGGCCGTCCCCATGTCCCCAGCTGTCCCCCGGCTGTCCCCAGGTTCCCCTGGCCGTCCCCATGTCCCCGGGTGTCCCCCGGCCGTCCCCATGTCCCCAGGTGTCCCCTGGCCGTCCCCATGTCCCCGGCTGTCCCCTGGCCGTCCCTGATGTCCCCAGGTGTCCCCCCAGCTGTCCCCGGCTGTCCCCCGGGTGTCCCCATGTCCCCGGCTGTCCCCTGGCTGTCCCTGATGTCTCCGGGTGTCCCCCAGCCATCCCCATGTCCCCGGCTGTCCCCCGGGTGTCCCCATGTCCCCAGGTGTCCTCCGGCCATCCCCAATGTCCCCAGCTGTCCCCCAGCCATCCCCAATGTCCCCAGGTGTCCCCTGGCCATCCCCAATGTCCCCAGGTGTCCCCCAGCCATCCCCAATGTCCCCAGGTGTCCCCTGGCCATCCCCATGTCCCCGGCTGTCCCCCGGGTGTCCCCAATGTCCCTGGGTGTCCCCTGGCCATCCCCATGTCCCCGGGTGTCCCCTGGCTGTCCCTGATGTCTCCGGGTGTCCCCCGGCCATCCCAATGTCCCCGGCTGTCCCCCGGGTGTCCCCAATGTCCCCGGGTGTCCCCTGGCCATCCCCATGTCCCTGGCTGTCCCCCGGGTGTCCCCAATGTCCCTGGGTGTCCCCCGGCCATCCCCATGTCCCCGGCTGTCCCCTGGCCATTCCCATGTCCCCAGGTGTCCCCCAGGTGTCCCCATGTCCCCGGCTGTCCCCCGGCTGTCCCTGATGTCCCTGGCTGTCCCCTGGCTGTCCCTGATGTCTCCGGCTGTCCCCCGGCCATCCCCATGTCCCCAGCTGTCCCCCAGGTGTCCCCATGTCCCCAGCTGTCCCCCGGGTGTCCCCATGTCCCCGGGTGTCCCCCGGGTGTCCCCATGTCCCCAGCTGTCCCCCGGGTGTTCCCATGTCCCCGGCTGTCCCCCGGGTGTCCCCATGTCCCCGGCTGTCCCCCGGGTGTCCCCATGTCCCCGGGTGTCCCCGCACCGCCTCGGTGAGCAGCAGCTCCAGCTTGCCCTCCTGCAGGACGTAGATGCTGGTGTCGGGCTGGCCGGGCCGGAAGACGTCCTCGCCCTGCTGGCACTGCTGGAACACCATGTGCTTGCACAGCTCCAGGAACAGCGGCTTCTCAAAGTGGCCCAGCACCCTGCGGGGACAGCGCCGTCACCCCGGGGACACGGCGGGGACACGGGGACAGCGCCGTCACCACGGGGACACGGGGACAGCATGGGGACACGGGGACACCACAGGGACAGCGTGGGGACACGGGGACAGCGCCGTCACCACGGGGACACGGGGACAGCATGGGGACACCCTGGGGACATGGGGACACAGGGACACCACGGGGCCACGGGGACACCGCAGGGACACGGGGACACCGCGGGGACACGGGGACAGCACGGGGACACGGGGACACCGCGGGGACACCGTGGGGACATGGGGACAGTGCCGTCACCGTGGGGACACGGGGACAGCGCGGGGACACCACGAGGACATGGGGACAGCTGGGTCACCGCAGGGACAGCACGGTCACCACAGGGACATGGGGACACCGCGGGGACGGTGGGGACACGGGGACAGCTGGGTCACTGAGGGGATGGTGGGGACATGGGGACACCAATCCCACATTCAGCCCCCAGCCCCACAATCATCCCCCAGCCCCACAGACAGACCCCGGCCCCACATTCAGACCCCAGCCCCACAAGCAGACCCCTATCCCATGGATAGATCCCACAATCAGACCCCAGCCCCACAAGCAGACCCCAGCCCCACATTCAGCCCCCAGCCCCACATTCAGCCCCCAGCCCCACAACCATCCCCCAGCCCCACATTCAGCCCCCAGCCCCACATTCAGCCCCGCTCACCGCACGTTCTTGAGCATGTAGAGCACCTCGGAGGGCAGGTGCGACGAGGCCACGTCGAACTCGGTCAGGTCGGCCTCCAGCACCGAGGGCGGCGGCTCCTTCAGCTGCAGCGTGGGCGGCTCCTTCTGGATGCGCAGGAAGCTGGCCGAGACCCTGGGCAGCGCCGGGACAGATCCCAATCCCCATGAATCCCGAATCCCAGTGAATCCCGAATCCCANCGGGGACACCACGAGGACATGGGGACAGCTGGGTCACCGCAGGGACAGCACGGTCACCACAGGGACATGGGGACACCGCGGGGACGGTGGGGACACGGGGACAGCTGGGTCACTGAGGGGATGGTGGGGACATGGGGACACCAATCCCACATTCAGCCCCCAGCCCCACAATCATCCCCCAGCCCCACAGACAGACCCCGGCCCCACATTCAGACCCCAGCCCCACAAGCAGACCCCTATCCCATGGATAGATCCCACAATCAGACCCCAGCCCCACAAGCAGACCCCAGCCCCACATTCAGCCCCCAGCCCCACATTCAGCCCCCAGCCCCACAACCATCCCCCAGCCCCACATTCAGCCCCCAGCCCCACATTCAGCCCCGCTCACCGCACGTTCTTGAGCATGTAGAGCACCTCGGAGGGCAGGTGCGACGAGGCCACGTCGAACTCGGTCAGGTCGGCCTCCAGCACCGAGGGCGGCGGCTCCTTCAGCTGCAGCGTGGGCGGCTCCTTCTGGATGCGCAGGAAGCTGGCCGAGACCCTGGGCAGCGCCGGGACAGATCCCAATCCCCATGAATCCCGAATCCCAGTGAATCCCGAATCCCAGTGAATCCCGAATCCCGAATCCCAGTGAATCCCAAATCCCGATGAATCCCGAATCCCAGTGAATCCCGAATCCCAAATCCCAGTGAATCCCAAATCCCGAATCCCAGTGAATCCCGAATCCCAAATCCCAGTGAATCCCAAATCCCAAATCCCAGTGAATCCCAAATCCCGATGAATCCCGAATCCCAAATCCTGAACCCCAATGAATCCTGAATCCCAAATCCCGAATCCCAATGAATCCCGAATCCCAAAGAATCCCGAATCCCAAATCCCAGTGAATCCCGAATCCCAGTGAATCCCAAATCCTGAATAACCCCGAGTCCCGACGAATCCTGAATTCCAAATCCCGAATCCCAAATCCTGCTGCCCGAGTCCTGAATCCCAAATCCCGCTGCCCTAATCTAAAATCCCAAATCCTGATGAATCCTGAATCCCAAATCCCACATCCCAAATACCGAATATTCCCGAATACTGAATTCCAAATCCCAAATCCCAAATCCTGAATCCCAAATCCCAGTGCCCGAATCCTGAATCCCAAATCCCGAATAATCCCAAATTCAAAATCCTGCTGCCCGAATACCACTGCCCAAATCTCAAATAATCCCAAATCCCGATGAATCCCAAATCCCGAATCCCAAATCCCGATGAATTTCGAATCCCAAATCCCAAATCCCAAATCCCGAATCCCGATGAATCCCAAATCCCAAATCCCAATGAATTTTGAATCCCAAATCCCGAATCCCAAATCCCAAATCCCGATGAATCCCAAATCCCAAATCCCGATAAATCCCAAATCCCAAATCCCAAATCCCGATGACTTTTGAATCCCAAATCCCAAATCCTGAATCCCGATGAATCCCAAATCCCGATGAATCCCGAATCCCAAATCC